GTGTTTGTAATTTGGGTTGTTATTGGTTGGTAGAAACATTTTAAAAAAAAATTGTTATTTAAAGTTGTGCGTGGTATTCCCAATTGTGTAGCAGCAGCACATAATCACTTTCCCCCTTAAATGGCATTACCGGCCTTTCTCATAACGCCCAAGGGTAGTTGACCCTTATCTGTTTTTCTTGTGTAGTTCCTAGGCATGATTCTGCCAAAAAAAAAAGAAAGAAAAAAAAAAGAATATAGGTAAACTTTGATTCTCATCCCATGGGCAATTAAAAATGTTTTCTAAAACTAAAGTTTAAGTTTTAAAAAATTAGATGATTTAATTTCTACATACTTACAAATTACATATCATTTAAATTTTTTTTCTTCTAAAATTACGTTTTGCTACAATAAATCATGACAGATAATTCTAAATCTTTATTGAAAGTTAACTAGCTATCAAAGTGCTCAATATGTTAATAAGCTTTATTTACTTAAACAGTATGCAGTAATGAAGCATAAAGAAAATAAACATAAGTGTCCATTTCTCCCTTAACTTTTTGGCCAGTTTCATCCCACCAGGGGGTTCATGCAGATTTTTTTTTTTTTTTTTAAGTTCGTGATGTAAATGATCAAATTAAATATGAAATAGTATAACAAACTACATTAAACTACTGTATATTTATTTTTATTCCTGATTTTTTGTTGTAAATTTTAAATAATATCGGATTATATTTGATAATGGATTGGGATACTGGTTCGACTCTGAAATCCAGTTTTTCGAACCCCGATCATACGGAATGCAGTCACTATACTGGTACCGGACTAGTTTCTTATATTATTGTCAGTAAAATATGACTGCACTACAGTGATGCAGCTAGTTTCTTATTGTCACTACACTATGACTGCACTACAGTGATCGAGCTAGTTTCTTATTGTCACTACACTATGACTGCACTACAGTGATCGAGCTAGTTTCTTATTGTCACTACACTATGACTGCACCACAGTGATCGAGCTAGTTTCTTATTGTCACTACACTATGACTGCACTACAGTGATGCAGATAGTTTCTTATTGTCACTACACTATGACTGCACTACAGTGATCGAGCTAGTTTCTTATTGTCACTACACTATGACTGCACTACAGTGATCGAGCTAGTTTCTTATTGTCACTACACTATGACTGCACTACAGTGATGCAGATAGTTTCTTATTGTCACTACACTATGACTGCACTACAGTGATCGAGCTAGCTTCTTATTGTCACTACACTATGACTGCACTACAGTGATCGAGCTAGTTTCTTATTGTCACTACACTATGACTGCACTACAGTGATCGAGATAGTTTCTTATTGTCACTACACTATGACTGCACTACAGTGATCGAGCTAGTTTCTTATTGTCACTACACTATGACTGCACTACAGTGATGCAGATAGTTTCTTATTGTCACTACACTATGACTGCACTACAGTGATGCAGATAGTTTCTTATTGTCACTACACTATGACTGCACTACAGTGATCGAGCTAGTTTCTTATTGTCACTACATTATGACTGCACTACAGTGATCGAGCTAGTTTCTTATTGTCACTACACTATGACTGCACTACAGTGATCGAGCTAGTTTCTTATTGTCACTACACTATGACTGCACTACAGCGATCGAGCTAGTTTCTTATTGTCACTACACTATGACTGCACTACAGTGATCGAGCTAGTTTCTTATTGTCACTACACTATGACTGCACTACAGTGATCGAGCTAGTTTCTTATTGTCACTACACTATGACTGCACTACAGTGATCGAGCTAGTTTCTTATTGTCACTACATTATGACTGCACTACAGTGATCGAGCTAGTTTCTTGTTGTCACTACACTATGACTATGACTGCACTACAGTGATGCAGCTAGTTTCTAATTGTCACTACACTATGACTGCACTACAGTGATCGAGCTAGTTTTTATTGTCACTACACTACACTGTGACCACACTACAGCTGGGCCTATATAGGCCTAAATAAATTATGATTAAATCGGCAGCTAATTTAATTGTTAAAATTCGACAATATCGTTCCAATTTTTTGAAATGACCTATTTATTATTGATGGGTTCTCCACATGCCAAAGTGAGTTGACATCAAGCATAGAGATCGTGTTGTGTACTCGACCTGTCATTTAATTCTTGGCCATTTTTTCTGCTAATTAAATATATATATATATTGCTTCTGGTATGTCCTGCTTCCCTTTTTCTACATGCTTTATATTAATAGTACTAGTACTGTGGACAAGCGACTCGTTAAATTATGTAAAAATAAATTTGGTCTCATAAGAGTGATTTCTGTTGTAATTTAAGTTCCTCTATTTATTTTAAAATCATTAAATTAAATGCGAATGCCATCTATGGCGCCGACGTGCAGCTGCTGTTGGTGGGACATCGTTGTAGTGGAGTTTCGTGAGTTGTTTACAAAGTATATGACTAGAGGAGAGCTTAAAAGTGATCCGTATATGACTAGTGGAGAGCTTAAGAGTGAGCCGTATATGACTAGAGGAGAGCTTAAGAGTGATCCGTATATAACTAGTGGATAGCTTAAGAGTGAGTCGTATATGACTAGAGGAGAGCTTAAGAGTGATCCGTATATGACTAGAGGAGAGCTTAAGAGTGAGCCATATATGACTAGAGGAGAGCTTAAGAGTGAGCCGTATATGACTAGAGGAGAGCTTAAGAGTGATCCGTATATGACTAGAGGAGAGCTTAAGAGTGAGCCGTATATGACTAGAGGAGAGCTTAAGAGTGAGTCGTATATGACTAGAGGAGAGCTTAAGAGTGAGCCGTATATGACTAGAGGAGAGCTTAAGAGTGAGCCGTATATGACTAGAGGAGAGCTTAAGAGTGAGTCGTACATGACTAGAGGAGAGCTTAAGAGTGAGCCGTACATGACAAGAGGAGAGCTTAAGAGTGAGCCGTACATGACTAGAGGAGAGCTTAAGAGTGAGCCGTACATGACTAGAGGAGAGCTTAAGAGTGAGCCGTATATGACTAGAGGAGAGCTTAAGAGTGAGCCGTATATGACTAGAGGAGAGCTTAAGAGTGCGCCTATTGAAATTTAAGCCAACTCCACTAATTTTATTATTAAAAAAAATAGTTTACGATTCTAGTTGACTTTGTTGTTGTACTGCCCGCGTCCACCTTACCGCGTGGGTGGGTATAGGTAGTTGTGAGATGCATTAGTTTTCTACTTTTTATTTATTAATTTGAAGAGCAATTTGCATTTTTAAAATTATTGATCATTGTGACCCCGTAGGTACGATAAATGTCACCATTCGTCTTAGTGCGTCGTTCTCAACCTACTACTAAGTTAGTCTAGTGCCGCGCTAGAAATTTGAAGGGCGCCCCTTGCATTGGTAGTGTTTTTATAAGCATATTCCGCAGATGGCATGTTGAGCACGTAATTCGTTAGCTAACAATAGGTTGGTTAAGTTTAACTAGATGGCCATATCTTAAAAACATAAGAGGTAAAAATAAAATTTAAAAAAGACGTGATTTTTTTTTTTAAAACCCCCATCTTTTTTTAATGATAATGAAGATCAAAACTGTTTGTAAAGCAAATAAAGAATAGAGCTAGAAAAGACAAGTAACATAGATGCAACTCTTGTGTTGTTGGCCATCAGACAAAGTAAGAACATCGATACTTGCAGGAGTGGCTTTTTGCTTCCGCCAATAGAAAACAGGTACCGGTAACCTACACACTCAACTTTTTATCATTCATGACCACAAAATTTACAAAGGATACTCAGCTTTTGATCAAATACGAGACGGATACAGCATTCCTGTAAAAGAGTGAAGAAGCCATACATATTTTACTACGTACCACCCCTACATTTTTGAACCCCTTCCCCCCACAACCGAGTGTTTTGTCATCACCCCCACCCCACCTTTGGTTCAGCCAAACTCAATAAATTTCGTCACACGCACGTGACTAGAGTTGTCACTAGGCTATATATCTAGAGGGTTCATTTCCTGACAACACAATCAATATAACACTTATAACCAAACACGGCTGTGACATGTTATATAGGACTATCAAAATGTGTGCATAAATGTAGTAGACATTATGCCAAGACAACCCTATACACCCTTCTCCCCCACTCGGTGGTACGTAGTATATGGATGACCCCATTCTGAAAATTTCAAACCTACAAATCTAATCATTTGCCTATATTTAATCAACATGTCACAAAAAAACTGCCAAGAGAATGTTCTTTGTTCTGTATTTTCTTTCTACTACTTTCAGATCTAGTCTTGGCCTGTAAACTGGACAAATAATTGACCAAATGCCTAAAACATAAAGACATATACGAACACAACTTTTCCAGACATGTATTTTTGTTATTGATACAATACAAAAAACAGACATAAATTATTATTTTTCTTAAACTAGGTTAAAAAGTCATCTGATTTAAGCTGACAGAAATGAACACGCATTTATCATTAAGTAATTTGGCAAACATTATTCTTAACATGACCAGCCCTCCAATCACTTCGGTGCCCACTGTGGTTGGAACAACTCAAGGCAACTCATCGCCTCAGTTGATATTTATTATAAGCTAGTTAAAGTTGACTTGAAGCGAACCCACTCTTACACCTGCAGCCAATGACTGGACAGGAATAATTGCCCACATTGTTGGGACTCAAGGCTTGAAATTGAACAATAAAACCGTAACATCAAAAACAATCAACTTTCTCAGTCTAACTAATTATTAATTATCGATTACATCAACGATCAACATTTACACATAGGTCCTGATTAAGTCTCTCCCTCCCCAAAATGGATGTCATCAGAATAGGGGAGGGTTATGTTGGGGAGGGGAGGGTTAAGTTGGGGAGGGGAGTTTAAGTTTAATCTCAACAATTCAATTTTAATCGAGCACACATAAAATTACACTTGATAAAGGAACATAGCAGAAAGACGTTTGGAGCATACAGAATGTGTACACACGACCCCCCCCACCCCCCCCCCACCAGGCAGCAAAATGCTAATACAAAAAGTAGAAAACTGATGTTTGAACCAAAGAAACAGCACAGAAATCAATCTTGAGGAGAGCAGCTAAAGCTAACTCATCAATACCAGTCAGCATTTCATGAACAGTAATGACTCGCATAGCTGACAAACTTTTCACAGGCACATCATTTTTACCCTGCTAGCCACTAAAAAATTGGGGTGCGGGGAGGACTACAGTACAAAGAGGGTGGTCACTGTGCTGACCTTACGAAATATTTTAAAATGTTTCTTTCAATAGTCATAATTTGAGGGCACTACTGTCAGACGGGACATAATCCACCTGTCAAGTAGTCTGATCCAACAAGAGAGATAACGTATCCCCTTTCTTGTCAGTCAGCTCTGGTCATTTGGTATATCACTTAATAAACCTACAGTTCCAGCACCCACTGCCCGACACTTTATCTAATCCTTCTCATCTCCTGTGATGCCATTGGTGGATGATCTCAACAAACATGTACCAATGCTCACCGTGACATGCATTAAAGTGCTGCTGTTAATGCCTGGTTTAGATGGACGGATATTTTAACACTTATTGGCATGAGGACTCTGGTTTTTTACAGAAGATGGCTTTAAATTTATCTTGTCTTTTACTAGAGCACAATACTTGTGCTGATGACCTGACCAATTGTTGGCATAATGGGAATGGAGAGTCTTACAAAGAAATATCAGCCAATGAGAACAGAGTCTTATACAGAAATATCAATCAATAGTAATGGAGTCTCACTACTCTGACACAGACATGTCAACCAATGGGAATGAAGTCCTACACAGAAATATCAACCAATTGGAATAGAGTCTCACACAGAAATATCAACCACCTTTTGAAAATGCAACTCAAATACGGTACCTGTAAACAAATCAAAACCCCGTTGGTTAATATTGTACAATTACAATGTCTATACAACTGGTGCAAGTAACCATAGCTCTCCCCTAATCACAAGTCATTACTGAATTAAAGTTCTACAAGGCAATTAAATGCATTGTCCAGTGTAAAACGAGTCACAAGTCACGTCATACTAAGAAGCTTCAAATACCAGTGGACATTTAGCCTGGCAAACAACCTTTGACCTCAGCATGGTAGTAACTGTAACACAAAAATTATGCTCATTAAATTTGGAAGACTGGTTAAAACTAAACTATTGGAATCTCACAACTGTTCCCTTTCAAGCAAATCATCAACACTGGTATACAACAATACACTCAAAGAATCCTGTGAAAAAAACGGAGTACAGAAACGATCAATGTTTTCCCACCACTGTTAAGTATTTTGTACTTTGGAACAAGTAGATCATCCAAAAAACTTTCTTGGAATCAAGAAGACAGAAAGGTTATAATCTTTTCTTTTTGAAAGCATGTAACAAGTCAAGACACAAAAATAGAAAAGTGCATGTCAAATGACACAATTGAAATAATTTTGAACAAAATTGACATTAAAGTACACAGATATCTGTCATTTTTTCTTTCGTTGTTGAGTGCTGTGCTGTTTCAGGAGAGCAGCGTAATCTATTTCATCGGGATCTCTCTTTGGTAATGGAGCATACTCTTCCTCTATTTCATTGTTACCATCTGAAATGAATAATAAAAAAATTGTTGCTGCACTCAGTGTTGTCATGGCATTCATTACTTAGGATGATCAATCCAGCACAGTGAATAGAATTGGACATGGCTGGCAAAGAAATTCATTCACATCACATGCACTGCTTAGATTGGCATCAATTAAAATGTCTATTAACTATCAAAGAGCAATTTGCTAGTTTTGTGACAACTAATTTTTATTACCCAAGTCAGCATACTGATCAGGACAAAAACGTCTCCTTCCTCCAAAACAGAGGTCAAACTTGTGCATGTCTGGCGTGTTGTTCCCTCCTGCAATAAGAATTTTTTTAAAATGGTTTCAACAGTTACAAATGTTAACATAACTAGAGTACAAAAGGGGTAGACATTTTCACAAGGGACCAAGTTTTTTCGGACAAGTATTTGCCAAATATGAATCCAAGAACTTTTTGTAAATTATTCATGATGAAATTTAGTTATTAACCGTGTAATACGCGTTCCACCTATAATCCCATAATAATAATATAAAAAATACAAATTACAAAAATAATATTTTTTTAACCACACATTACATAGGCTAAATTAATTGCTTATTAATTTTTTAAAAGTCAGTTCATAATGTGAAATATAACAAAATATATATACATGATTACACTTGGGCCATAATATTTGTTATGATTTTACAAACGAAAGAAGCCTACTAACACTAGAAAGTTTATGTCAAAGATTTAAGACAATACATACTTTCTTTTGCCGCTATGGCATCACAAGCATAGGCAAATGTAACAAAACCATAGTTATCCCTGAATGAGATAAGAAAATATATATGTTTTGTTTATTTGGCTACAGACTAAAATCTTGTTTACAACAAACATTTCATATTAAGTGAAAATACCATACATTTATTCATTCCACCATCTTTTAGAAAATTTTTCTAATCCTAAAATGCCAACTTTATTTAAACCATTGCCATGCCACACACCAACTGCAATGTCAAAACTATTTAACTCATTCCCCACGGTTGCGACTAAATGCGCCCTTTGGGGGTTTCGACGGATGCACCCAAATGCGTCTCAGCGCATAGCGATACACATCTTATTTTTAGTTAAAAATAGCAATGAAATCTTGCATCCCTCGAGACTTCTGGCTATGGCCTGATTCTGCATGATTTTAATTTAAAAAACAGGAAGTTTTTATCTTGTTTCACTTTAAAAATACGTGTGCTTTAATATGTGCATCTTTACCTAGCGTGTGTTTGTCCGAGGTGCCGAAAATCGATTTTTTGGCCATTGTTCATTATTTTTTCGCAGCTTATGTTATATATATTTTTTTTATTAAACCTTATTCATTTTTTGATGCATTCGTCCTTATTTTAAAAATTTAAATCAATTTCAAAACTGAGTTGCTTCCCCTTTCTCAGGAATTAAATTAAGTACGCAAGTAGCACTGCCAGAGGGAATGAGTTAATCTTGTGATAATACATATAAACAATTACATTACTTTTTCTTACTTACCCATGCTCTCTAAAATTCAGCTTAACTTCTTTTATTTCACCAAAACACTGAAATCTTTGATACAGCTGTTTCTTGGAATAAGCATTTGGTATTTTACCCACATAAACAACACGCCTTTCCTCCTGTAGAATTTTTATTGCAATTGTTTCAATTAATCCTTTCCTTGTGGCATTCATCAGTACAGACTTAATGAATTTAACAATGTGCAATAAAACCACTTATTCTAGCTATGTACAAAAAGCATACAAGTAAGTTTAAAATAAAAGTGACGTATTTCTACTGCAAAACTTTTAGCAAAAATTTTAAAAAAAATGTATTAAAAAAAATACCATTGCTTTCTCTCGCTCTATTTCTTTGGCCTTTCTTTTCTCAGACATTATGTTCCCAGAGTGAGACTTTTTTCTATGGCTTGATGGACTGGACCTTAAATCAAACGACAATATTTCTAGAAACACAAGCCTCCATAGAGCTATCACTGTCCATATTAAGAATTTAAGTCCTTTACAGAGAATAATTTCTTCTTTTTGCTGGTTCCATGAAAATAACAGTCATATTTAATATAGCATATAGATTAAAGAAGAAATTAACCTTAATTGTGTAGGGAATAAAAACTACCAATTTCTACCTGGATCGATCTTTGCGTATCAGACTACGAGACCTCGACCTTGATCGGGGCTCCCAGTTTGGTGTGAATCTACTTCTGGTCCTATGACTACGCAGCCTTCTTTCCCTTCTCCAGACAGGAGACCTGTTACAAATTAAATGTTTTACAATGTAAACTTCAAATTATTTTGAGATCTAATTTCTTTGTCTGTCAGTGTCAGCCATCACAAACTGTTCATTAAATCCAACAGGTTAACTAGAATACTAAGATATATTAAGTATTACGACAAAGACATAGGCATACCTGGATCCACTACAGGAAGAAGAACTGCTGCTGTGACATGAGCTAGCAGACCTGGATCTAGACCTGGACATTGATGATTGAGTACAGGTTGAACAGTAGGACCGACTGCTGCAGGTTGAACAAGTTGAACAATCCGATGAAGCAGAATTTGAGCGGAAAGAACTCCTGGAGCCAGCCCATGAGCGGCGTGAGGTTGACCGTGAGCGTCTTTCTGCACCACGAGGAGAGCATGGCGAGTTGCATCGACTAGAATGCTGTGATACAGCCCCTGGACTCTGAGAACATTTTAAATTACTTTCTGCAGCCGGCGATAGAACGCTCTCCTTTTCTATATCCTCCAACTCAACGTCTTTGGTGGTATTGGTAAAACAGCGACGATGGGCAGGCACTTTATCATAGTGAGACTCCTCCACTGGGTCATATTTCTCTTCTAGATCCAGATGATCAGACCTGCCTATTGAGTTTGTTGCAGTAGCAAACACTGTAGTTTTCATGGGCTTCATGGGAATAGAAAGAGCTGTGTAGTAATTTGGGATTTTTTCATAATATTGCCCAGGTTCATCTTCTACAGCAGGAGTCGGTTCGGGTGGCTTATGGCTGGTGGAAATTTTCCGATGGCGATACTTGCGTATTCTCTTACCTTCTGCATTCCTCCTAGACGTAGAAAATGTAATATTATTGTAAGGGCTTTCAGTTTGAACCTTCAGGTTAGAATCACAGGAGTCAAGCAGCAATGCATCATTTCCATTAGCATCAACAAAAACTTGGATTTCCTCAAGAATAATCTCCTCTTCAGGCCTCTCTTGTGGTAAGGCGGTGACCTCCAGTGGAACTGAAGCCTCTTCAGTTAACTCAAGGCCACCCAATTCAGTAGTTGAACTGTGCAAACTTGAGCATGAAGGCTCAGTGCCACACTTTAATTTACCTTTGTCCATGGAGGGAGAATTTTTCCAATTTGTCTTGAAAAAACAGTAGTCATGGTCAGACTCATCAGTCCTAACAGACCCCATTGGTTTAGGAGTGGCTGATGATATCACTGGCATAGAGGCGGAATGAGTGAGCCTGCTGGCAGCAGTGCAGAGTGTCTGTTGGGGGAGCCCATTGGAAAGTTTAACTTTGGGGTTCGAGTAGGGGGCCATAACCCCAGACTGGAGTGCAATGACCTGTGTGAGACCAGTTGATACAGCAGTTGAGGATTTTATTTCTTGACCTAAGAGAGATTGTGTAAAGGAGGCAGGACTGAGACTGACTGGGATATTGAGATTAGTATGTTGAAATGATGTCTCTTTTGCTTCTCCCTGTTTGGACTTTAAAATACTGAGCAACGACTGGCCAACAACTGGTTGGGAAGACTGTAGATTATGCTGTAAAAGTTGTTTGCCAGGACCTTGAAGAACCACCTGCACCATCTTCGGAGCATTCATTTGCCCATTAAACATTGGCATTTGTAGAGTTCTGTAGGTGGAGTTCTTGGAACCAATAATCACCTGCTCCCTCTTTACTGTGTTACAATTCTGAATCAGAAGTTTCGTATCCACTGATCTGAGATTAGAACCAGAGAAAAAGATGGTGCTCTGAGGTTGTTTGGTTTTACCCCTCATTATCACCATACCTGGATTCACAATAGGTGGAGGTGTGGCCGGTGGGGTAATAGCTAAAAATAAATAAATAGATTATTTCTTTACATGAACTTCTAAGAAAGAATTAACTTTGTATAAAAATGGTTTTTATAATCAGATGTTGTATAAATAATTCATTGTGGTGCACCAAAACTTACATTCTGCATGCTCCCACAACATAGATAAAACAAAATTGACCTCTTCTGGTTTAAATTAAACCAAAATAGTTTTACAGATTTGCTGTTGGAGATACAGTTTACAAACTCACACAAGATAGCTTAAATTACAGGCTTTTAAAGCAAATGACAATCCCAAACCTGTTTACCCCCAAACTCCTAAAATCCTACAATATCCTCTCAAAACCGTACAATGCAGTATTTTGATAGTAAATAAATAAAATACCGTACATGTATATATAATGTATACAATAACTACTCCTATAGCATGTTCAGTGGAATCGAGTTAACTGCGTGAGCATGTTCAGTGGAATCGAGTTAAACTGGCGTGAGCATGTTCAGTGGAATCGAGTTAAACTGGCGTGAAAATATGGAACTGTAGGTAAACAGTAGATGACTGATGTTAACGGCAAACTGCGGTCACTTTGTTTTGCACTGTGTATCGGCTAATAGATATCAATTAATATTTGGGTGAACGTGCTGATCACATTATCCCAGTCTGTCACAGGTCAAAATAAAATCACCGGTGAAAGTTCAAACTTGACTTCAGATAAGCATAAAATAAAATGTATTAAAATAAGAATAAATTACCCGGTAACAAATTGGGACCCCCCCCCCCTTTGTGTGTACGGTACAGTGAGCTTTAAAACACCGGCAGCCCCCCCCCCCCCAATAAACGTAACAAAATCCATGGTATATTATGATGTTACAGTAAACAAAATGTGACACGGGTTTTCACCATGAGTGATTCAGCCAGTCCAGTGGTTCCCAGAATAAACGCCACATCGCCCTGGGTGCTCGTTGCCCTCGGGCAAGGGGGTGGCTGCGGCTTCCTCATCGGGGCGTTGCGAAATATTTTAATAAAATTTATAATTTTATTTTCACTTTTAAATCAATGTGACAACTTTCGGTCGTGGTGCAAACTGTAACCCACTAAGCAAAGCTGTTTGCAGTTCCAGATGGTGCTCAGTGACCTACATACACGTTATATATATTTTTATCCAACCCTTATTTTATTTGTGTATTCGCTATTTCGAAGTGTACATGTTAGAATTTGACACAGGGAGCCTGGCGAAAACGTAGTATGGCATAGGTCTCAGGGAAACGAAAATTTTAGAACCACTGGCGTAGCCCACCAATTGAGCGTTATGCGTAGGCTTACCATTCGGTGGACTAAACATTACTGTAATTTCTCTAATTCTGAGTTTAGGTATAGCGGTGTTGACTGTATAGATTTAAATAATTAGACCCGCGCCATACACACTATCTCCTAAATCCACACCACTCATTTTGCCTCTGGTTGCTACTGAAAAGACAGTAGTCAGTGCAGATGTGCAGCGCGCGTATGATGGACCCTTCTATGAAGATCGCAACACAGTAAATTGTGTCTTATATTCAAGCAAGAATATAAACTTTCTTTATCTTTTGTTGAAGCTGATGTTTATTGGTAGAAGTAGACGTTTCTTCTTCATCATCGGTTTCGCGTGCCTTTCTTTTTGTCGAGGCCATTTCGTAAAATACTCACTAGGTAAACTAAACTAGGGGACCGAAAATAAAAAGGATCGCTGATTACATTAATGGTAACATTAAAATCAGGCAATGTGCACACCCGTCAATCTAGCCAAATTCAAATGCCAAAGCTGTTTGGGAAATGGGACATTCATGTATAACATACCTGGTACGCAAAATAAAACTTTAAAAAGTTTTTAAAAATATTTATACCCCCCCCCCCACCCCCCCCTTGTCAACAAAAAACAAAAGCCCATTAACTATTCCGTAAAACAAAGGCCCATCTAACCGTAACATAAAACAAAGGGTCATACAACTATAATGTAAAACATATTCAAATGCCAAAGCTGTTTGGGAAATGGGACATTCATGTATAACATACCTGGTACGCAAAATAAAACTTTAAAAAGTTTTTAAAAATATTTATCCCCCCCCCCCCAGCCGCACCTTGTCAACGTAAAACAAAAGGCCATTAACTATTGCGTAAAACAAAGGGCCATCTAACTGTTACATAAAACAAAGGGTCATCTAACTATTATGTAAAACAAGGGGCCATCTAACTATTACGTAAAACAAAGGGCCTTCTAACTATTACGTAAAAGGGCCTTCTAACTATTACGTAAAAGGGCCTTCTAACTATTACGTAAAACAAAGGGCCACTAACTATTACGTAAAACAAAGGGCCATATAACACTATGTAAAAGGGCCATCTAACACTATGTAAAAGGGCCATCTAACTATTACGTATTATGTACGCGCTGAGGATGCGTATGACAGATTTAATTGGGGGGGGGTGGTCAATAGACTGCACCTACATTTATGCATATAATAATTATCCTGTCAGTCTCTTATAAAGCCAACTGTCATCTGAAAATCTGTGAAATCCATGAATTCTAATTAGGCCTTTTATTATTATTATTATTAAGGCTATGAATTTTTTTACAGTATTTCGCAGTAAGCATTTAGGCATACTCATATAAGCTAATGCTTTGTGCTTTCATAAAGAGATCCCTGTAGTTCAGCGGTTCTCAACCTTTCTAGTGCCGCGATCCTGTGATACAATTCCTCATGTTGTGGCGACCCCAAAACACAAAATTATTTTCGTTTATACTTTATTACTGAAGAGTGTATGTGTTTTCAGATGGTCCTAGGCGACCCCTGTGAAAGGGTCGCGACCCACGTGAAAGGGTCGCGACCCACAGGTTGAGAGCCGCTTCTGTAGTTGTAAAATTGAACTTGACATAGTGATAACACACTATGATCCAGTAATTCGTCTTTCCGTGCTGGTGACGTCATTATTTCCACTGGGCAGAACCCCCCCCCCCCCCCCCCATTACTAGAGAAAATAATTGAGCAGTCGTCTGATTTTTTCCGTTTAAAAAAGGGGTGGGGGTGTAGTATTCGTAGTGATACCAAACTGTCCTATTACTATCGGTTTTGCAAGTTCTACCAATACTTTTTAAATTTTAATCGGAAATTTTTTTTTTCACCGGCTCTCTGAAAATTGTAGTTTTGGCGGGTCTCGGAGTAAAATCGTAAAAGAAAATGAAAGGAAATTGATTTGTAGCATGTAAATATTTTTTTTATATCAAGAATCTTCACTTACCTGGACTATTACCTGCACTTTTTGCACGTAAGAAAAGATTTCTGTGAAAACAATAAATGAAGCAAAATAATTAGGAAATATGTAACACATTAAGTTCCATTTCTAGAGTTCCTTTACTCTAATGCTGAAGATGGACAGAAGTTGTATAGTACCGGTATCCAAACTGATGACATAAAAAAAAACAACAAAAAAACCCTTATCTACCGATAGAAAAGTTTAATTATATTAATTTATATGTGTCAATGTGAGAAGTACACTAAAATTATAATTAAATATTTGGTATTGATGTCACTCCCGAAGCTTCAGTATCCGTCAATATTCAGCCTGACACCATAAGGTAAATTTTGCTCTAAATTCACAATAAATTTAAAAAAAACAACCCTTCTTCCAGTGAAATAACACAATGATTTTGCTTACCATTACTATGACTTTGAGTACGGTCAGTTATTGTTTGTAACTATATATACTACTTTGATCCTTTGAAATAAAATTTGTAAAAAAATAATGTTATATTGCGCCAATATAGTCATATTAGTTAGTATACCATAATACCCTAATAGGTACCGGTATGTTGATTAAAATTTAAACTATTTTTTGGCCCAGGACTTAAACTTCTACTTACTTTCTCTTCACATTTGCAGAAGATGAAATGCTTAAGTCATCTGCTGGTTTAGTGGCTGAAAATATCACAGAAGATTTTTGTAATCATTTGCTATAAATTATGCAATGTAGATTTATAATTGACACATTTAATAAGCTTACACAATTTATCCTGATTATCAGTAGTAGACAAGTTAATATTGTGTGAGCCTATGCCTATGGACACTATAGTTTATAGCACTATGTTTAAATTCCAGAAAGTTGTAGAATAAAAAATGATACCTTCTTCAAAACGACTCAGTAAGCTCACAAGATCGTTAGCTTCAATACCTAGAGAATAATAAAAGTTTAAATGTGATATATTTATTTTTAGAAAAAAAATTGTATGCGTAATTTATGCAACTATTAAAAGGCTAACAGAATTTAAAAGTGGATGTGTCTGTTTTACTGTAATTTTTAATTTTAAGGTTCTGACCTTTAGTATTTTACCCACAAGTCTAATATATTATAATATAAAATAATAGAATATTAGAATGTAGCTTGAAGTACACAAGAAAATAAATGACTTGTATATGATCTGAGTGGGTAAAATGACCAAACTTGAAATAAAAAAATAAAATAATGAGGAATAGTATAGTTCAAATTCTTCATTTTTTAAAAAAGGTATAATCTTATGTTGTATCTAAAAGAGCTCCCAATTGTCTTTACAATTGACATGGGTTAATCATTGGTTAATGATACACACCATTATTCATTGCACTGTTCTCCCCTAAATTGAACTCCAATTCATCTGCATTGGCCATTGAAGTAAATTCACTAACAATGCTGTAAAGATAAGCAAACAAATTCAAACAATAAGAGATGTAAACAAATGCCCACACCATTTAAAGACAATACCCAAAAGTCAAAAGGTATTGTGGTGAGTGTCAATTGTGAAAGAGCTTAAATGACAAATGTCAGCTTTATGTTTCAGCTTTATCTTTTTGGGTTAAAAAGAGGGCTAACACAGGTAGATTTAGACACTATTGGCTAAAAGAAAGACAATCAGTGCTCTATATAAATATACTTTATTTCATGGAATGTAAAGTGAACAAAGATACATGAAATCTACATATATAGAAATGAATACAAGTCTAACTCTCTAAATCTCACAGTACTAATAATATACACAATACTATTTCAAGTCTAAGTTCCTGGAATTATTATTTCTGCTAACTATTGAGTGGCCCTATCTAGTACTACTTAGCAATTGCAACGGACGGCTAACGTATCGATATGATCCTCATTTGGTCTCTCATCTTTGTAGGGTCGATGTGCCAGTCTTATATACTCATTTCGCATTGCATCGACCTTAAAGTAAGTCAGTGTCCGCTTAATCTTTGGTGGTTGTGCCATTATTCGGATAGATGTTGTGCTTCCTGGCTGTGGTAATCTGACATGGTCAGGTTAATGGTGTACATAAAGAAAAGGGCCCAACCTTATAAGTTATAGTTAGGTTAGCAATATGAGTGTATATACATCTGCACATACTTAATAGCCTATAGTGAAAGTTGTTGAAATTTTAAGCATGTATCATATGATATTAGTATTAACGGTGCCGAGTGAAAAAAAAAAAAGGCTGAACTTAGGTATATAAGTTGATTTTTTTTATCTTTAGGGGGATGTGACAATTATTTGGTGTTGTTATTGTTCGCGTTTGTCTGACATGGTCAGGTTAATGGGGTACGTAAAGAAAAGGGCCCCAACCTTGTAAAACACTTCTACTTGGGGGAAAAAAATTGAGAATAATATTGGGAATTTTTTTTATAGCAAAATGACATCACTAAGTTCCAATATATATGAACTAGCTTTAGTGTTTAACCGTTACAAATTCTCGATTGTCAAAATCTGATGCAGAATAGCACACTCATAGTCTGGTAAGGTATTTACGTTTTTAGTATGACCTTGATTAATCCAATGTTCTTTCACTACCTTTCGTGGTCTTCTGACAGTATGTCCAAAGTCCAAATATACGTTGAAAAGGGGAAAATCCAGAGGATTCTTCAAAGGCTGGAATGGTGCATAAAGATGCCCTAGGAATGGTTTGAGTTGGTTTGCCTATTCTTTGACAAACTTCACAGTTTTGCAATAGTGTGTAACATTTTTCTTCATGTTAGGCCAATAAAAAATGTTCACAAATTTTCACTAATGTCCTTTTTTATTCCTAGTTGTCTTGACATGGGAGATTGTGAGATAAATACATCACCTCATCTCTGTAGATCTTTGGTATCACTAACTGATGAAATCACGCAAAGTTTCGTTGGCTGAAGCAACCACGGGAAAAAATTTCCTGAGTAACAAATTGTTCTTGAGAACCATTTGTAGAGTTAGTCATGTTTTCTACAGGTATGACCTCTTTTGTAAGGTCTTGGATTTCCGAATGACTTAGTTAGGCTGCTAAAAGATCTTGATGATTTATTTGTAGGTTATATGTAGGAGGTCTTAGGTTTGTTTGATTCCATGAAGAAAGTCTCTTTGAGAATCATTGGAGGAACTGCAATCTTTGATTAATCAAACATACCTCTAGTGACTGGAAATAATGGGTATGCATCCTGATTTTTCCTCTTGGCGGGTGAAGAAGAAGTTGGAGGGTTTTTGAGTGGCTCCAAGAAAACTTTTGCGCCAGCTAAATCATTGCCAAGTATCAAGGTCAATACAATTTATTGGTAATTGATTGAGCACGGCGACTAAAACATTGCCCTTTACTAGGTTATGTGAAATATTGATGATATGGAGAGGTACAGAGGTTTGACCTAAACCAACTCCTTATAGAGTGACTTCACCAAACGCTGCTGAATCAGTGGAGAGTGCTTTGTAACATTAGAGATCTGGAAGATCCAGAGTCTCTTAGAATTTTAACCTTTCATCTAGAAGAGAGTTTTCCCAGGTATGGATGCATATCCTTCAGAGATGAAGGGTTGCAATACCTTAAGTGTGTTGACTTGAGACGAGAGAAGACCTTGGTCTTGAGGCTTAGCTACCAGGAATGAATAATCTTCCTGTGCGAGTGATTTGGTAGATCTTTCTTCGTCACAAGGCGTAATTGGGGTCGACTTTTTGTTTTGTTTAACAAAAGGGCCTTTAGGATCTGGATGTACATGAATCTTGTGAATGAAACCGACAGGACTAACATTCTCATCATTCTGGTTATTTCGGATGTAGTTCCGACTTCGGCACTGGTCTACTCGGTGACCTTGTCTTTTACAGAACCGGCAAAACAATTGTGGAGGTGATGGTTTCCTTTCACTGTGTGAGTCCTGATGTCGAGTTCATGTGGCCAACTGTTGTAGTTTGGTCACTGGCAGTGTCACAGTTTGTGTGAACTGGCGAAGAGTGGGATTGGTGGTCCTGTAGTTGAGGTTATGGTTGTTGGCCATCTCAGATACGCGACTGTTTCCTCTGTACAAGCCGCAACGTTATCTACGCCATTGTCTGCACCCGCTGTCAGATGACGTACATAGGGGAGACTGGACGCCGTCTCTCCGACAGGTGTACCAAACACCTCTGAAACATTACACAAGATAAACAGTGTCCTGTCTCCAAACAGTTCAATAGTGGTGACCACCAGGGCAAGGCGGACTTTTCGATAAGTGCGATTGTGGCTCGCACGAAACACAGCCAGCCGGGTCAATTTGGAACACTTATCCTGACTTACGACACTTTGACGCCAGATGGGATTAATGTTATGTCTCTGTTCACAGCTTGACCCTAGCTCCGCCTCTCCACGTTCTGACCTATCACAAAAAACTTTTTTTCTCCCCATTTTTTTCGCCGCTGCATATTTAAACTCTCACTCACTTTCCTTCTGCCACACTTCTATTGCTGCCCACAGATACTACTTACCAGCTAAGTGCTATTTCTTATTTTTATACCGTTTTTTCTGTTGTTTTGTTCGCTGACGAAGGCTTTCTGCCGACACGTTCGCTGTTTTGTTGCGTTTTATTTTTTCAGGTTTAACCCTACTCTGTTTTAATCATTTTATTTTGGCCATCGCAGCTGCTCTTCTCATATCTTTAATGTATTGGTCCATTAGGTGTGTTCTCACTTCCCCAGGGATGGAATTCATAAACTCTTCTAAAAGAAGAAGTGATCAGAGTTTTTCAAGGGAGTAGACATTCTCAGCGATCAGCCATCTGTCAAAAATTTTCTCTTTTTCGTAGAGAAACTCGACATTCGTTTGTTCAGGATGTTTCTTGAGACTGCGAAACATTCTGCGATAAGCCTCTGGCGTTAGCTCATAAGCTTTAGTATGGCTGCTTTTACTGTGCTGTAGTCATTTTGTGACTCAGCTGATAATGAGAAAAAGATTTGTGACACCTTACCATGCAATGATGTACTTAATAATATGGTTTGGATTTCCACTGGCCATTTTAATGTGCTATCTAACAGCTCAAAATGTTTCAAATATGTTTCCAAGTCTGTTTCATTGAACTTAGGAACATTACGAACAAATGAGTGAACAGAAGGAGACAATGATTCAGAAGAATTGACAAGAGTACTAGGCTGACTATCTTCACATTCTAACTGTTTAAGTTTCATGTCCCTATCACCTTCCCATTTTTGTTTCTCTAACTCTTAACTTTTGTTTCTGGATCTCTGAGTGTAATTATAACTCTTTCTCTCTGATCTCTAATTCTCTTATCTTCAAAGGGTGATCACTGCTGATCTCTGGAGCTATTCGATTTTAACATTCTTCCTCTAGCAAACCTTCATTTACAAAATGCACAATGATTTGGTCTGTGAGAACAGAATTCCTGCTGGCAGGTTTAAATTTGATATCTAAAGCTTTTAAGACTAGAATGAGTTCTGTCCTTTTTAAAACTTTTTAAGACAGGAATTGGATTAAGGAGAAATGTATCTATTTCCATTCTTAATTAGAAAACTTACCAAGAACAAAGACAATAACACTGAAGAACTGGTGTGTAGCGTAAGTGAAATAGAAGCACACAACACAGTGCACTAGTAAACAACTCCTATAAGAAGCTAACACTCCTAACTATACTGTAAGTTTAGTGTTGCCAAAGGTTCTAAAACAGAATTTCACAAAGTATCTTCTGAATAGAAATCCCAGACGGAGGTCCCATATATTTTACGCCCTCTATAGTGTTCAATGAAGGTGAACAAGATCATGGTCTAGGGGTTTTGAAAAGAGGGCTAACACAGGTAGTTTTTAGACACTATTGGCTAAAAATAAAGACAATCAGCGCTCTATATAAATGTACTTTATTACATGGAATGTCAAGTGAACAAAGATACATGAAATCTACATATATAGAAATGAATACAAGTCTAACTCTCTAAATCTCACAGTACTAATAATATACACAATACAGTTACAACTCTGTTCCTGGAATTATTATTTCTGCTAACTATTGTCACTATTGAGTGGCCCTATCTGGTACTACTTAGCAATTGCAACGGACGGCTAACCACGATATGATCCTCATTTGGTCTCTCCTCTTCGTAGGGTCGATGTGCCAGTCTTATATACTCATTTCGCGTTGCATTGATCTTTAAGTAGGTCAGTGTCTGCTTAATCGTTGCCGGTTGTGCCATTGTTCAGATAAAGACGTTGTGCTTCCTGGCTGTGGTAATCTGACATGGTCAGGTTAATGGTGTACATAAAGAAAAGGGCCCAACCTTATAAGTTATAGTTAGGTTAGCAATATGAGTGTATATACATCTGCACATACTTAATAGCCTATAGTGAAAGTTGTTGAAATTTTAAGCATGTATCATATGATATTAGTATTAACGGTGCCGAGTGAAAAAAAAAAAAGGCTGAACTTAGGTATATAAGTTGATTTTTTTTATCTTTAGGGGGATGTGACAATTATTTGGTGTTGTTATTGTTCGCGTTTGTCTGTCACACAGTCAGCTTCATGAGTAAATCTTGAAGTCTGGTAAATATGTTGATTTCTTTTCGCTAGAGAATAATATATTTTTAAAAAAATGTCACTGTTTTTTCATGTAAATGAACAAAAGTACTTTCTATATTGACAGTTTATCGTACTGCCTGTTCCTATCAGTGGGTTATTTCTTGATAAAAATGGTTGACAAAGACAATGCACTCTCACAGCGACATAGGGCAATAAATTTCATTGCAGATTATAAAAAATAACATGTTAAATCTTTTTTGTAACACTTGGATCCACCATGTATTTTCTCAAAGTCCCAGACCAGGTATAAAAAAACTGCACCCGGTTAAGCCCTAGTTAATCAATAATAATAATAAAACATTTTCAATTAAAAAATCTGAAACCAATGCCAATTTGTTTTTAGAGAAAAAATAGCCTGACGTGAGAGCTTCCATACTAGTTAATATGTTTTATTGAGTTAGTAGAATTGCTCAGTATCGAATATCAAATGCCATTGCTTTGGATAGGCAAAAAACAGGCCCTGATATTTGAACTTTGTCTAATTAAAACCAAAAATTATTTTTTGGGCCTATTAATAACAGTATAACCATAAGTCCACTCAATTCACTTATGTTAAAATATTGTAGTCTAAGGAATAGCCAGTAAAGGCTAAAGCCACTGTAGGTTATAGACAACAATATTAATAGGCAATAGGCCAACTTGTACTCACAGTCTCCTGTCATGAAAGTCAAATGATAAATGAAATTAAATGTTAGAATTCACTTAATATTATAGTTCAATGGTAATGATATTGAATCGATAAGAAAATGACAGGGAATTTGAAGCAATTTTGCCACAATGGTTTCTGTTGATAGCTTAGCCAACCTTTGTACCTCATAGTCATATAGAGTCAAAAGTTTTATTAAGCTACCATGCACACCCTATGCATCAGCATCATTTATCTCATTCATTCTTTGCCGGCCATGTGGATGTGGTCCTGCCTAGTAGTAAAAGTAGTTATACCAGAGTTGTATCAGTATTTATTATTATTCCTTATTACTTATTATTTAGTCTAGTCATGGAAATGTAAAGTTAAAAAGTACATCTGACATCTAAAAGTTATATTAGGCCTATACAAACATATAAGTGGTTGGCTAAAATGCAGTTAGCGAATAAGTATAAGTCTTTAAGTTATAAAACCAAAAACAGTGCTTGAAACTGACTTGACACAACACGCTACTCCACACTGGTCCACAGTTACACTACTTACACGCACACTATTTTGCGAATGAATGAATGGCATGAATGAGAATGTCATGTTGTGAATAATTTTTTTTTTTTAAAGCAATTGAAAAATCTACTATAAAATTCTTATCATATTGCTCTCAGCAGGCTCTAAAATATATAAAACTTACAAGTAAAGTAGCTGTCAAATGACCATGTTGTGTTACTGTGTATAGCGATGTATTAGAATCCAACGACACGTTGTCCAATTTTAGCTCAGGATTGTAATGGTTCTGTATAATATTTTCGTGAATAGGGAAATAGTCGAGTACACAATAATGACAATATTAAACTAAAATCAATAATTAGTCTGCTGTAGAGATAATTTAATGAATTTTTTTTTTAGTGCCACTGAGTCAATAAATAACTGTAATGAGCCCATTATCATAACAAAGAAAAATAGTTAATAATATTAATTTTTTAAATATACATTTTTACTTTGACAGTTTAAGTTGTTTTTTTTTTACAGCTCGGAGTATTAGTATTATTATTAGGCAAATTGGATAAAGAAATATTAAATATATATTGTTTAGAATATAAATATGCAATTAAAAAAAAATTAAAAATATATTGTTTAAAAAAAAAATATGCAATAAAAATTGAAAAACATAACTATTTTATGCCAAAAAAAAAAAAAAAATACTTGACTAATTTAAGTAGGAGTTCTTAGAAGGCCTAGACTTATTTATTTGTATTTATATCAATTAAATTATCATTTGGACTTCTTTGCTCGAGGGAGACTGTGTTTGTGAACCATATTGATAAAATAAATAGTTTTCGTTGGACTCCTGAAGTGAAGGGGTATTGAACTGGAATCCGAGGTTTTTTATTTGTAAAGTACCCGGTATCGATTCTTTATTAAGAAAAATATCGCTTAAAAATTTTCCCGATCCAAATATATCCCATTTTCTGTTTAGTGTATCATGTGATGTAGGGGTGAGATCTCGCGGATAACTCTGTCTTTACATAAACTTTTCGTTGCGAGAGCTTCTTGAAATTTCATCCACAATTGTATAAGCCATTTCATAAAAGTATAATATAATTTTAATTTTAGAATAGTATTGACGCTGACTTTGACGTTATAAGAAAAAAATAAATAAAAATATATAACAGCACACAATTTATATTCCAATTCATCCTCTCCCTGAAAATTATTGTACTTGAACAGCTCCTCCCTGGTTCCTTCCACACGCATTTTAATAAGCCCCCCCCCCCCCCCCCCCCNGTCTAACCGAGATTCATAAAAGGATAAACAATCACACATACATTTTTCACAAATGTAACCAATCCAAATGCATGCTGTATTAAAAGGTCACGGTTGATGGATCAGAAATGTGATGACCCTATGTTTAGGTCAGAAAAACACAGTCATAATTCCATGCCGTTTAAAGTGTTCGGTAACTTCCTTAAGTGACAGGAGGCTATATTTATCTAAATTCTGAGAAATATGGCTTTCCATTGATACCAAATAAGTGTGTTTGGGGCGGTTGTAAGTATAAAAATCGATAAAAATTAAAAACATTGAAAATGAATTTTACCCATTTATAGGTTTAAAAATATATTATTTTACACAATTTTCAATCTTTTAATGATTAATTATTTTTATTTAAATAAAGAAAAGTTTTTTGAAGACACATATATTATATATCGAAACCCAAAAGGTATCTTACCTTTCACCAGAAACCCAAAATGAATTTATAAGTAAGTGCTCTTGCAAATCATGTGAAGGAGATTCTTATCATGGATATAAAGCCTGCGAGGTATTTTCGAAAGTACACCTGATAGATCAAACAGTGACCAGACGTTTGTAGTGATCAGATATGTGATAATCCACAATGGGAAAGTTGACGTGAGAGGAGTGTTTATTGCATTTCCCCCGTTAAGATTGAAAAAAAAGCTGATGACCTCAGTTCTGACATTATTACAAACTAAAGCGTGATGGACTAGACATACTGATGTTCAGAGCTCATGGTTAAGATAATGCTGCCCTAATGTATGGATTCCACGGAGGTGCTCAAGCCATTCGGAAAATAAATAATAAGAAAGCAATTTTTAATGGATGTGTTGGCCATTCACTTAACTTGTGTGGTCAACACTCTTTTGCAGAACATGCTTCATGTATTACATTATTGGGTACTCTTGAAAGAATATTTTCCTTCTTTGCTGCATCCAATAATCGATGGAATGTTCTAATCGCACACACTAGAATGTCGGTGAAAAGACAGTCAACAACGCGTTGGAATGCTCATCATGCTGCTGTTAAAACAGTGAAAGATGAGTTTGATGAATGTTGGGAGAAGATTAAAGCTCTGTCATCACCTTGTAAAAATTTGCATACAAGAGGTTAAGCATAAGATCTTTTCCATGCTGTCTGTAATTTCACGTTTATCTGCTACCTTTAACTTTGGGCTGATCTACTTGAGGAAGTTAATCTTACACAGCACTATCTGCAGATTTAAGGGATTACTCTTGACAAAGTTTTGACAAACCTAGAGACCTTAGATTGTTTCTTCACGAGAAGCGTCGTCACTTGGTGGAATATGCTATTGAAAAGGCACTTGAAAATCAGACCAATATGGAATTTCGGTAGAGAGAAGATGAAGGTTTAAGAAGAGAATGGCAGGAGAAATATTAATTAATAGATGCTGAACTCTTTCTGGGAGAAGAAAACAGTAGGGTGATGCTGGAGTGTGTAGATCGCTTTCATTCTGAACTCCACATCAGATCATCAGTTATCAAGGAAGTACCAGAATGATATGTTTGGGTCTGTTCAACCCAAGAGTCTAGTATCAGCAAGTGAAGAAGAGTTATTGGTATCCGTTCCAAAATTAACTTCTTTCAATGATGAGTTATCAGAAGATGAACTTTACTTTAAAAAGAAATATCAAGGCTTAGTAGACATCTAAAAGCAGCTGATTTCTCAAAGTTATGGACTGGTCAGTATTTTATGTTTTGAAATTCAAAGCTGAATGGGATTTCATAGAATCTCTTCCAATACTCTCGCTAAGCCTTTAATTTTTCTTACGATATGTGTGTATGTGGCTTCATGTGAGCGGAGCTTTTCAAAACTAAGGCTTATCAAGAAATATTTATGATAGACCATGTGACAGTCAAGGTTTTCTCATGTGGCTCTGCTATCAATTGAAAGTCATACAGTGAAAAACATTGATTTTGATCAAGTGATTGACAGGTTTGCAGCTTTAAAAACAAGGAAAGGAAAATTTTAAATTGTAAATTTAAAGTAAATACAGCTATAACTTAACGTTTTTAAATATATTAACTTCATGACCTTTGATTTATTTGTTTTTGTTCTTGTTATTTTGTGGACTTATTTTAACAAGAAAAAAAACCATCATGGAAATTTGGGGGGGGGGGGAGGTTGACACCATGAGTTTACCGCACCGGTTGACACCAACCCTAGCTATGCCACTGCTTTCTCCCTAGAAATAGAAAACTTCAATTGAGCTGAACAATATCAGTCATAATTATATAGATTAGTAGTCGCTAGTGTCAGTGTAGATTTCATGGTGACAGGTTCTTAAGACGGTATTCTTTTTCTGGCCTTTCTGACAGCTCTCTGTGTTAAGATTTTAAAAGGCTATCATAATTATTGCTTATGTAGACTTCGGTTAAGACATTTCCTCCTTTACCTTAATGCCCAACACCATTCAGAACTTATGGCATGGGAACACCCCTTGCACCTAACTCAGTGAGTAAATAATATGAAGAATAAAGCTTTTCTTGCGCCTCTAAATTCAAATAATTACATAGAAAAGTCAGTGAACCACTTCTAAAGAAGTACCCCCCCCCTTCCCCTCCCACCACCCAGGAAAATTACTCTAATTATACTTCATAACAAAGGAATTCTAGTTATGGCTTGTTAGCATACATATCAAATGTATGTGTTACCTTAACTCTGAAAATTACTTTTTAAAAATACATGTGAAAATGAAATTTAAAAGCTATCATTTTATAATGACTAAAATTAACATATAATATAACAAAACAAAAAAAGGCCCCATGAGCAAAGCAATTAATGACAATCAAGAAGATTAAAAATAATCCTAATTAGAACAATAAACACAATGTGCTGTCATAAATTAACAGATGTTTAACTGTATGTTTCCACTAAATACAAAGATGACTGCAATTTTAAAAGGTTAGGTTAATGTTTACCCCAATATGAGTATCTGCTTTTGAAACCCAATTAACAATTCAGAATTATCGTCCACATAAATCTTTTTTTTTTTACGTCCCAGACCAAATAAATGTTAAGAATAAATAGCTTGGGCAACAAAGTCAACGTAATTTGTATCCAGACAAGTCTTATCCTTAAAAAGAATACATTAAATGAAATATATGTATTTTTCTAAGCAACATTAAAAAATAAATATAAAAGTAAAATTGTTATGTTCTGTACAAGTGATAACTTTATTGCTCATAATGATATCATTATTCTTTAAAGAAATTGAAAAATTAACTTTATCCTTGATGCACTGTCTGAATGTATTCTGGGCGAACTTTGGCCACTTTGCGAAATTCTTCATTTAATGTTTTTGGACATTGCATTTTACACCAGCTTACAGGTACCATACTAACTCCTGCAAAAAAATAAACACACACAAAAAGTTAATAACAAATTATATTACATAAAGAATTCTAAACTATAATGAAAAAGTTAAACAATATCATATTGATAGGCAATAAAAAAAGCGCCTTTCTTCAGAAAATAGAAAAAAAACAACCAAAAAAAAAAAAAAAAAAAAAAAAAAAAAAAAAAAAAAAAAACAAACACAAAAAGTTAATAACAAATTAAATTAAATAAAGAATTCTAAACAATAATGAAAAAGTTAAACAATATCAAATTGATAGGCAATAAAAAAAGCGCCTTTCTTCAGAAAATAGAAAAAAAACAACCAAAAAAAAAAAAAAAACAACCACCATTATAACAATACAATTTTATTGCCCGATAGAGTAATGACAACCAACACATTTATGATTAGATCTAACTCACCTGCTTCACTCATGCCTATTGCAACTCCCAGTTCATTTTCTGCTGTACCTAATATATAAGATTGTGCGTCACCTAACGATAACTGAATAGAATATAAGGAAAATTATTGTATGAGAAATTAAAATAAACCTAATTTTCAGAATTAGCAATAAATTGACTCTAACTAGAGATGAATTAAGCTTGAGTTCAATATATTTTTTTAAAAAACCCACAAAGCTTAAGGGATAATACTGATGGTGTGGCCACTAAGAGTGTCCTTCATCAAAAAGAAATTAAGAGGTTTCAACCATGGGCGCCCGCAGGTAGGGGCAAGGGGGGGCACTTGCTCCCTCCTGGATTGATTGGATAAAAAATTTTTAGACAAAAATAGACAAAAAATTTATTAAAGTAAAGAGAAAATAAAGAGAAAGTAACTAAGCTGATGTCCTGTCCATTCGTTCACAAAACAAATACGCTACAGTAAATTAAAACTATATTAAAACATGACTAAAATTTTTGCGGGAGCCCATGGTTTCAACATAATCTATGAGTTTTTTTAAAAAACCTGTTGAAAAAGTAAACAAGGGGGTAAAACCCTAGCCAAGTAAAGGTAGCTTGTGATATTTTCTTTCAACAAATTATTATTAAGGTTACTGTGAAGTATTTTATTTCATCATCCTCTTGTGTTACATTTATCTTCTCAACACACCAGAACTAAAAGTGAAATCACAGAGAGGGGCATCACAAGTATGTTTTGTACCGGCACTCACTGTATTCCTTATATTTATTGAAGTGCCCCCCCCCCCTCCACTTCTTTCCCCAACCAATGGATACAGTTACATTCTTTTAGATTAACAAATAAAAGCATCTTTAACTTGTTATATTAGGTTGGTGGTCACAATTTAAAAAAAAACACAACTATGTAAATTTAAATTTTGAAGAACCTCTACAAGTTCTATCTGATTGTTAAGTGGTTGGGGTAGGGCTAGCAACTAAAAAAATATCTTTTAGTTTTATGAGAGACATTCAATAATAAAGTATAGGTCATGACACTGGCTGTGATTTTTTCACTATGTAAACAGACATTGAATGAAAAGTGAAACTATACAAGAAAAGGATACAACACGAGCAATGATTATATCACCAGGCCTAAAACATCTGTACATTTCCACCCTGTCTTTTTCTGTTGCTCTGACGTCTTCTTTCCTTTAAAAAAAAACGGGGGGGGGGGGAATGTATGACTGTAGGGAAATCCATTACCCGGTATACATGGTTTTCCATAGTCTTAAATGAAATTGACATAGATAAAAAGAAAAAAGTGAAGATTTTTTACAAATATTTTTAAAAGGCTCTAATTAAATAAAATTGGGCTGAACCTTTCAAACAAAGCAATGAAACTGTTAGCTTAAATACAAAAAAAAAATGTTGAAACACAAGAACAAAAAAAAAAAAAATAATTAAAAAAAAAGAAAAAGAAAGTAACACCATCCAATAATAAAAAAAAAAAAAAAAAAAAAAAAAAACATTAAAATAAATAAAAATTAAAAAGAAAAAAGTGAAGATTTTTTACAAATATTTTTAAAAGGCTCTAATTAAAAAAAATTGGGCTGAACCTTTCAAACAAAGCAATGAAAATGTTAGCTTAAATACAAAAAAAAAATGTTGAAACACAAGAACAAAAAAAAAAAAAATAATTAAAGAAAATGATAAGGGATGTTTCACCCTCCCATGTTCAACAACAACAACAAAAAAACAACAAACTTTTAAGTAAATAAAATTTGTTTAGTATGACATTGACCTGGACAGAATGGATTAGTCACATAAAATTAAATATGCGGCTAGAAAAAAAACACCAAGGAATAGACATGTTCTTAATTGGATAAAATACGTTTAAACTATAGTGTCAGGACTGCAGTGAATCATCCAACTTAGTGTAAAAAGAAAAATAGGTCGTCGAAAAAACACTAGAATTACCTGACTAGACCTCTATATACATCACATAGAGGAGTTGTACCCACCGAGAGAATTTCACACTTGCAAAATCTTGGATTTACATTTGTTACCTAAAAATAATATATGAAGAGAGTAAAAAGTTTGTGAAACTTTACAGACATGCTAATACTTTTAGTTACCAGTATTAAAACTTGTTTCTAAACTACACTACAATATTAACTTTATATATATATATATATATATATGGACATTGGACACTATATAATTAAAAACATAAGTAAGTACTGGTACAGTAGAACCTCCTGATAATGGCTAACAAAATATTTCAAACTTCCAATCAAACATAAATTTTTTGTTGCAAAGGACGTGAGAAGAGTATAAATAATATATATTCTCCTGCAATACAGTCACAAAACGTAGCTCAAGAAGCACAACAGATAAAATCTCTCTGATTATTTTTTTAAAAAATCACACATTTCATACTTTTTAAAATCCCAGAATATGGTTATACTGCCAAAATAAAGACAGATATGAGAGTTAGGTCTTTTTTTTACTGTACTGTTAATGTTTTAATAATTGTGTTCAATATTAAGAACAACTTACTCTTGCAGTGACAATGTCATCTATGCTAGGAATGACTGTTTGAGTTTCACCTGTGTGTACACTTATTAAGATTTCCTGTACATAAAATATTATGATTAAAACATTATATTTTATTGTGAATTTAGTTATGAAAATATTGCATTAGCATATACCCAATTAGAAAAGTAAATAACATTTATCAAATATATTCTTTATACCTAGTATTGAATTTATTATAGATTAAAACCTTAGTATTATTCATTGTGTCAGCCAAAGATCAAGTCCATGGGTCTTTGATCTTCTAATCTAAAAAAATATACCATTTGCTAGTGTCATAGCTAAATTCAATACCTACTGTGTTATCATTTGTGGGGCGTTCCTCCCAGTATCCTAGAACACTTGAGTAAATAAAACCATTTCGTGAGTAGGTCCCTTTGCCCCCAATGTGTTTATCATCAGCACGGTTTAATCTTTGTCCTATCAAAATTAAAAATTCTTCATTCACCCAACGTTATCAGAAAAATGAAAATTTAAAAAAAAATGATTACAATTTGAATTATTCAATATAAATGTGTACTGTCTAGCAATGTTCCCTCTAAGGTTTGTTGGTTTGTGTGCAAAATCATGCAGTTGTGTGCAAAGTTTTACAGCATCAATTTTTTTGTGTGCAAAATTTTACAGCCCACAAACACAGACACACACTTATGTGGAAATTTGCTGCGCGGATACACAAAACTGCTGTGCTGCATCTGTGAGAAAGCTGCGCGGCCGCGCAGCTCAAAGGGAACATTGCTGTCTAGCACACTTATGTTTAGCGCAATAACTGAAATAGAATTATTATTTTGTTTATATTATTTATAGGGCTTTGGAGCAGAAACAGATCTCAATTTGTTTGGGCTGCACTGGCACTGGGCTCAGCTAATATCTAATTTATTTTTTTTTAAAATGCCAACCAATTAAAATATTTGAAAGCAACGTTCCTAGAATATTTGTAAATGTTAAAAATTATTTTGAGGTATCATTTAAAAAAATGTATGTTGCCATTTTTGTTGTGAGAAGCACATAAATATAATAAAACCCCTGTACAATTTTAACTCTCTTGAGACGGATGTCCAATCTATAGGCCTGATAATTCAAGCCTTGAGATTGGCTGGCTAGTCTCTGTACCAGCAAATCAGACCTATCAGAATTTACAACAACAAAAAAAATCCTTAAACTTTTTCTATCTCAATTGTATTAAAACAAGGATGACCTCCCTAATAATTGTTTAATACAATGATCAGTCCTTTAAATATGGCGGCTTCCATGGAAATAAACAAAACATTTTTGTAAATATTAAAATTGTCTTAATATTTTTTATCATTTGTTTATACAATGCCTAGTGATAACAAATATTCAAAGAAACGAGCGTTTCATGAAAATAGATATACTAAGCCTAATATTGGACCCAATGAGGATATTTTAAATGAAATAAATTTATTAAAACAATCTGATTCCATTGAATCGTTGAATATGACCTACTCCTTGACTTTGACTAAAATTAAAATTTAGTGGTCTTGATAACACCAAATGCCACGCCCACCCAGAACAAGTCAGAAATTAAATTGATAGACATGTATGGAGTAAATGGTTCTCATTTAGATTAAAGTGAAAATTAAGACATCTGTAAATCATTTCATTAATTTTTAATGTTTATAAATAATAGTAATAGGGAATCAATCAGCAGAAATTAATTTAATTAGGCCAATTTTTTTTAGACCTTTACCATCCAATTATTTTTTAGAAAATTTTTAGATATTTATACCCAATATGCGAACGACTCGATGAATAATATTATATTGGAAATGTGCCCTAAGAACAAATATCATGGTTTAAGAGCTGCCCACATTGGTGTTGACTTAGCAACCCTTCTTTTCAATGATGGATCCAAAGTATTGGAGGCTCCTCTAAGATTTTGCAGCTTTCCTTTGGACAATTTACGTTGAATTATTTCATTATGATGGGTGCTAAGCGGATATCGAAGGCACAAAAAAAAAAATGAATAAGTCCTTAGAAGATAGAAGAAGCAGAAGAAGGCTTAAATTTGGGTTAGAAGAGTCAAAAGTTGAAGCTAAATTACATCTTTATCTTTCAGGGAGGTCATTAAAATTATAAAATTTATTAACTTAATGAACAAAATTATTGCGCGTTCATTCACAAAATTTCAACATTTAATTCACATAAAAAATGATAACTTTTTAAAATATCAACCAATTTGTTTAAAATTTTGCAAGATGCTATATTATATACTTGTCTATGTCAGGAACTAAGGATAGTGCAATATATTAATAAGTACACATTTTACAATCCTTCAAAATTTGATTTTAAAATGTCAAAATTAAGATACTTTGGGATGCTTTTATACAAAAAGTATTCAATAAATTACATTTTTCCTAGTTGTCGCCAAAGCTAATCCATGTTTCTGTATGGTTAAAAAATTGTAATAAATGTGAGCTTAAAACATTCTAACTAATTTTTTTTGTCTGACATGCCTTTTTCCAGCATCCCATTTTTATTATTTTTTTTCAATGTTAGCAAACTATTATGTTGCACTACTAATGGTTATTTTATGTGTTATTATGGTAGAATGACCATTCGTCTAGCTTCAGTGAAAATTTGACACTTGTAACTTGTAATATTTGACACTTGTAATAGTTTTTTTTTAGTGAAATTTTTAGTAGTCAACCTGTGTTCAGGGTGTAACACTCCCCCCTCACCCCCCCCCCCCCAAAATGTATAAAATATGCTGACTTGTCACTTATTTGAAATTAATTAATTAATTTTGTTTAAATATTTTTTATTGAATTTCCCAAAAATGACAAGAATAATAATATTCTTCAGATATTAATTTCAAATTTTCTGTGGAATTGTTTAACATTTATAAGTATAAACTAATAATAAAGGGGTTATTTGTTTCATTTAGTTAAAATTTACGATTACACTTTTATTTTATCAGTTTCTATATATGCATTTTAGTCCCATATCATATGAATGTCTGAATATGACAAAAAAATAGTATGTCATTTTTTTCAAGTTAGTAATCTTGTTTAAAAAATTAACATGCATTGATAGAATTAACTTTGGTGGTTGATACAAATAATGACATTCGAATAGTACTGAGTCTAAATGGACTCAGACATGCAGCGCCGCCATTCACATCCAGGTACCATTAGACTCAAGCTACTTGGATGTCACTTGTGGTAGTTTATTTTAGTTAAACTGAAGGAGTAAGTTTACAAACATATAGTCATAGTATAGTCCATTCAATTATTATTATCTTTTATTTGATACCTCATTTTGTCGTACAAACCCAACAATAATATTTTTAATAGTTTTTTAGTCCCAACCTCTCACTTCTGGTACCAGGGTATGAATAGTCGCAGGTTTTAATTTCAATAATTATAATTAAGTATTAAGAGTTAAGAGGATTGTGATTGATGGAAGAAGTTATATTTAATAGAAAAAGGAAGACTTGTCCGCCTTTTGTATTCAGAGAATCATATTAATAATATGATATTATTAATTATTGATATGATAACCCCAATTGGACTGATTAGTAGAGTAATGAAGTATGTAAATGTAACGTTTGTGACTTGCGTCAAAAATAAAATGTTAAATTTAAATATTAATATTATAGTTATAGTATTATTTTATTTAGTGGGTAGCCTTTTTTTAGTGTATGTATATAGTGTGTAGAGACTATCGCTTTTTGACTATAACTATAGAGTGAGTAGCTGAGTAGTATAATTAGAATAGAATTAATAGACATAGTCATAGTACATAACATAGTAACATAGTCATAGAGTTTAACAGAGTAACAGTAACAGTAAAACTCAGTAACAGTAACAGTCAGTCATTTTTTAATAAAATTACACAAGTTATTATGTGCCTTTCACTTTAATCTAGTTAAGTAGTAAGATATTGGTCCGATTTCTAGATGGTAATTAACATAAATAGGTATAATTATAAATTTTGATACTAAATATTGTAATTATTTTACTTCAAAATGTAACGAGAAGTTACCTGGTACACAAATCCTGGAAGTCGCCATCTTGAAATTTAAAAAGTTTAAAAAGTGTCTGTAGCTTTTTTTTTTTAAAACACTATTTCCTGTAAAGGTGGCACCAAGTCATTATGTACCCAAAAATAAATCTTCCAAGCGTGAAATTCGCTCATAATTTTCCTTTTAGATAAAGGAAAGTTTATCACCTTCATTCAAATTCAGTAAATATTCATTACAATCATCTTGTCCCTAAACAATATCACTTAACTGTAACTAATATTTATTTTTTATGGTAAAATACTTCAAAAGTATAATGCACTATTACCTGGACCTGGAATAACACAAACCTTTGGGAACGAATCTAAAGGTATGCTATTTGTAGGGATGGTGCTATTGCAGGTTCAGTCAGAATGATGATCATGCACAAAAATTTGAACAAGAAGACAAATGCACATTAAAAGATGAATGCTATCATAATCCGAAAATGCACACATTTACCTGCAGTCGTTGAGTCCTGGGTAAAAAAAGGTGAGGGAATGCACCCAAGCAGTGGTGGTAGGCTAATACTAATAGCTAGTTTAGCTATGTTTGGTATCGCCAGGGGTAGACCCAGAGTTTTGCAGCCCGCTTCACAAAAAACCATTTGAATTTAGCCGAACTGTCCCCCCTCCATATAAGAAAATAGTGCTTCCAAGGGTTGACCACCTCTACCCCCCCCCCTTTTTTCCTCAACGCCACTGCACCAAAGTTGCCCCCTCCCAAAATAAAGAAAAAAATATTTATTAGGCCTACATAGCAAAAAATAACTCGACCCATATTTCTATGTATATATAGTAACTAAAGCACAATTATGAAAGTCATTGAGATTTTATTGGACTTAAACATTCTTCAGGCTACATTATACACTATACTCAATACCCACTGCTCAATCACAACACTCATTCGGAGTCATTTTGAAAACACGCTGACAACAAGATGTCTCATCATGATTTTAGAGCTACATCGCGGTATCAGAATGAGAAGCGAAGCATAATGTAGTAATTCTGTTCCAGCTGGCGTGGTATTTGGTTTTCGCAGTTAAAAAAACCAACAACAAACAAACAATGGCTATGCCCCCCTTGGGCCCTTAGGTTTGACAGGATTAGCGCAATTTCAAGGGGCTTTTGATTAGACATAGATCCGTGCCGGGGATGAGTTGGCGCATATGCCAGGGACTGCGCTGTTTCAAGGTTTGCGTTCTCCAGGGATCTTTGTAGCCAGACAGAGGCGTGCGTAGTGAGAGGTTATTAAATGTCCAAATAAGTAGCGTGGGAGTGGGAGGGGGCGAGCACACGATTCTCAAGGTAACTATAGATAGAACATTTAAAACTTAAAAGCCATAATTTCAAACTGTTGAAGACATAACAAAACAAAAAAAAAAATAATATTTTTTTTTTCACAATAGTTAATTTAATCTTGAAAAACATAGTCGATATGAAATTTTAGCCTCGCCTCGGGGAGGGGTTGGGGGGGGGGGGTGGTTAGCAACCCTTTTTTAATTACTACGAGCCATGTATGTTATTAAACTATATCACCATATCTGCTGAGAAAAGATATCAGAAGCCGCAGGCAGGGATGGACTGATTAAATGGTACAAAAGATTAGTAAAACTAATGGAAAGTAGTGAAACGAATGGCTTTAGGTTAAAACCGCAAATAACTAATATTAATTGTACAAGTTTTTTTTAAAAACATTTTGTTTTCAAGGGGAGCATACCCCAGATTTGTTTCAAGAATTTCAATTAATTAAGATTAACTCCCCTTTGAACATCTCAAACATTTTCCCAAGGCCATTGAGACCATTCAGGATATAAAAGCCTTTTATATTTTTTCTTCAAATATTTTAATTTATTGATGATTTTTATATAAACAGGAGTAAAAATAAAACTGTCTAAACTTTTTAATTTTTTTTGCAAATTCATTATTGAAATACATCTCTAAGTCGACTGGGCAGGAATGGGTATTTGGGTATCTCAGTATAAATCGTAATTATGGAGATGGATGTCGTAAACTGAAGGGATCAGGCTTAGTGGCGTGGCTAGGGTTAGTGTCATCCCTTCTACCAAAAAAAAAAAAAAAACTTCTGCATATAACCGAAAATGCCACCCCTGTATCTCAGTATAAATCGTAATTATGGAGATGGATGTCGTAAACTGAAGGGATCAGGCTTAGTGGCGTGGCTAGGGTTAGTGTCATCCCTTCTACCAAAAAAAAAAAAAAAAACTTCTGCAGATGACCGAAAATGTCACCCCTTGATATAAAGAAAAAGGTGCTACCGGGGCGAACTACGCCCACTTCGCACTCTCTTCCTACGCCCTTATTTGAACTCAAATTTAAGGGATTGGACTATGAATTAAAAGGCCGTAAATTATTATTATCATTATTATTATTATCATTGCTACAGTGGTCTTATATAGCACGGTACCCCAGCCTAGGGATGGGCTCTCCGTACTGCACTTAAAAATATTAACATACATAATCATGACATTAAAATATAGCATACAATACATTTATTTAATTTATAAAAATAAAATTGTGTGTCGTGTATTGAAGGGATCAGGATATGCATTGAATATCATATGTATTGAAGGGATCATTGAATATCATATATTTATATTGAGGGCTTTGCAAGGATAGGGACACGAGGCCAATATATTGACGGGTTCAAGATGTGCATTAAATGCAGTGTATTGTAGAGATCAGGGACGTGCTGGCACATGGAAACCCGTGACGAACGGTGTACTAAGAAAGGCTCGGAGCCCCCCCCCCCTCCCGCATACCGGAGATTGTAATAACTGCCCAAAAAGGCCCATGACGAATGCTCGTCGCGTCGTCGTGGTCCAGCATGTCCCTGGTAGAGATTGGCGGCTCTAGTCTCTTGGTGTGGCAAGGTGCCACTTATTAGGAATATCATAACGCACGCTCCGAGTGGCACTGTTGTGGATAAACAAGAACAAACTCACTGGGCCCTATTGGTCACTCATGCACGGCGCGTGGCCATCTCATGACGACCACGTGATCCGTGACGGCAGAACACACAAAGACATGTGAGCATGCTAAAATAGCATGGATCCAAGCGCTATATAAGGATTCAATCAATGTGTGTGATCTCGAACACGATTGTCACTCATGCATGGGGATTGACCCTCAGGTGACCAGCAGGTAATTTTCACCCTTCTCTTTGTTCGGACTCTAAATCATTGTTTCCTTTGTGGGTCCTACATCAGGAAGTCGGAAGTCCAATGCAACCCGATCATTTTGAGTTGATAGAGGCGACTTAAAATCCTTTGTTTGTTTTTTTAATAAAAAAGGCGTTATTTTCCCTCCTGAGAGGAAACGGAAGAAGCAAGAAGGAGGACACGGAAAAGTCTGAGGGAGGAAAGCCATCATCATGTTAAATATTTTATTGACTTTTCTTGTCATCTCACCCCATGCCACTTATCGTCCAAATCATTTTCTTATTTCACTCCATGGGGCATCACACATTCCATCTTGCTTAATAAATAACACTTTTTGTCCGTTTTTCTTAACTTCGTTACTGTCCGTAGCATCAATTTATGTCCGTTTTTCTTAACTTCGTTACTGTCCGTAGCATCAATTTATGTCCGTTTTTCTTAACTTCGTTACTGTCCGTAGCATCAATTTATGTCCGTTTTTCTTAACTTCGTTACTGTCCGTAGCATCAATTTATGTCCGTTTTTCTTAACTTCGTTACTGTCCGTAGCATCAATTTTTTTTATTTTTTTTAAAATCCATTTTTTTTTTCTCTTTATTTCGATCGTACATTCTAAATAATAATTTAACAAAATAATAAAAATAATAAAGAAAAATACATGTTAAATTAAACATAAAAATAAAAGTTAAACGCTACGTCCTAACAGAAGGACGGCGAAGGAAGTCAGTGATCGAAGTTTGAGGTTTCCGTCGACATCCCTTTTTGTTTTTCTAATAATAATTTAAAAAAAGTAAAATGGTTAGCACCATTAGTTCATAGGTACGTTACTGGTCACATGTAGCCGCATCGTAAGTAATACGCGTGTTATAATCCTTGTGTATTTGTAGAGTAAATTTATTTTGTGGTTGTAATGGACTTTAATCAAGTTAATTAGTGTTTTAACACTGATAGGGATATAGTTAAAAATGCTGACATGGTGCTATATCTTGTATAGACTCCACATGTGCGCGCGTTTACAACTGCTATAAATTGATATCTGTCTAGTGACACAAGATGAAATGCGTCATGTCTGAAATGGACTTATCGTGTGCACCAGTATCGAACTAACGATAATACTTTATAGTGATCGAGTTAAATGACCGCCATGTGTTAAAATCTAACATAGATCCGAGTGTGTAACCATGTCATTGTAAAAGAGTTGTAGTAGAAATGTAGGTTAACTGCTTTTTAAGTAACCCAGGGTCTCCGTGCTTAAAATAGATACGGGATATTTGCCAACATAAAGTTATTGAGATTGAACTGTACGCACCTCACATCTCACATATATTGGGAGCGCAAAACTGTGTACTATCATATATATATATATATATATATATAAGCTAAACCCACATGACTTCTTTAATAAATAAATATTATTAACGTATCATTTTTATTTGCTAAATTGATTCTCCTGTTGGGTCCACTATTATAGTTAATTATCGTTGGTGTTCAACTTTATTATTCAACATGATTATGGCCCGTTTTGAAGAATTTGCCTGCCTACTGCTATTTATGTACTACTTTTGTCATACAGTGTACTTTGAAAAACCTTTTCAATCTAGAGTTATTTCCCCCCTTCCCCCCCCCCCCCCCCCCCCCACCATTTTAGTTGACTAACTGTCCTACTTTGAATAACCTGTTAAATATAGCCCACGTGTTTATTGAATGTTTGTCAGACATTGGATAATCATTTAAAACATTCAGTTTTCCAACCTCTTCATTGCTACACATGTCTACTTAAACGTCTGCCACTTTTAATAACTTGTACCATATACACGGCGTATCTTTTCATATTATAATCTATTGTCACTTTTCCTTCGCT